TTACTAGGTTTGAATCAAGTTGATTTGTTTATGTAGCTTGATAATGCCAAGTAGGAGTGGGTGAGTTTGTGAGTCATGATCCTCCTGCATTGAACAGTAGCTCTCAAGATATCGAAAAAGACAAAAAAGTCCAGTGATGGGACATAGGGGAAAGTGGATTAATTATTCTTCGGGCCTATCTCCCTCTAGGTCCTCAATGGAAGGTTGACAATAAAGGCACAACATTAAGAAAAGGGAAAAAAAAATATTTTTAGGGTTGCGACATGCTTCAAGGATAGAAGTAGAAACACATGTCTCAAGCGACTTGGTATTCCGCACATTGATCTCCTCCTTCCTAGGTCGTCTGACTCCACCAGAACTGACTCATGTTTAATTGGTCAATATAGGTGCACAAAAGGCCTCTGATCCCTCTGGTTTGATTGTAGAAGAGAGTGCATGTCTTGCACTCTTTCTTGTCTTGCCCCCACATGAGAGGCAACTTTCGGCTCTTTCCAAACACATGCAAGAGAAGGTCTTGGTCGACTCTAAACGTTACATGCATGTGGTGCCCTCCCTCTCGATCTCTCCTCGGTCTGGGACACACAAATATATCATAAGGACAAATATTTCTTAGAATTTTGACAATGAAGGTCAGTAGAAGGGGCGGTATTCTTCAGAATTATGGCAATGATAATCTATATTCTTAATAATTATAGTAATGAAGGATGGTGGTGGGAATATGTAGCATCGGAATTTTGGTAATGAATGCCAGTGGTGGGAATATATTTTCTTCATAATTCCAACAATAAAGGCTAATTGTGGGAACATGTATTCCTTAGAATTCCTATAATGAAGGTTGATGGAAGGAATAATATTCCTCAGAATTTTGATAATGAAGGTCGATGATAGGAACATGTATTCATCATAATTCCAATAATGAAGGTCGATGGTGTGAACTTGTGGCGATATGCATGCTAGTAAGATTTGATGTAGATGTGGAGGACACCAGAAATTTTGGGGAGAAATGAAAACTATCCAGACACACTATATCTCGTCATGTGTAGTCGTATGGTCTCTCGTCCAGACATAAGCTCTTGTTTGGCTCCTCTCGGTTCCCCTCCAGATGCACGCGAGAGGCGGCTAATGCAAGCAACAAGCTTCAAGGATGTACGATTTCACTTGGTTTTGGCAACACGCCTCTCTCATCCTATTCAATCTCATGCACACAAGAGGGGTTCACGAGATGTTCTTCTTTCTAGATCGGATGCAGAAACCGTGGGATGAAGCACTCTCCCTCCTCTCAGTTGGATGTACGCATGAACGAATAAGCCGGAACTCACTCCCTTTCATTTTTGAAGGGAAGGTCCGGCCTTCTGCATGGCCTTCCCTTCATAAAGTTCGACAGTTAAAAAAATGCAAAATTCCGGCCATGACGATGAAAACTCGGATACCATGTTAAATCCAGAGAATTGGAGAGGGAAAAAGCTTAATTTTATTAGACAAAACTATTCATATTTATAGATCTATACTTGAAATCTTAATAAAGAAACAGATAATTACATAATCATGTATAATTTCCTTAATATAATCCTTCCTAAATTAGCCACCCAAATATGGAAGGAGATCAACGTGATTGAGGTAAGCCTCCCATGGATTCCTATCTGGCTGTGGGATCAAGTGTTAAGGGACGACTTGGATTTAACAGAGATTGGTATGATCCAAGTTTCGCCTCCCACGATTCCCATCTTAGTCGTGGGATCAAGTGTTAGTGACGGCTAGGCTTCAATAAATTCCCATTCTGGCTGTGGGATAAAGTATCAAGGGATGGCTGAGGATGGCTGAGATTTTAGCACATCCAAATGGAGACAATCAACACCCTTTAAGAGGAAGATTGAAGTTTTCCTTTAAGTATTGCAAATCTAATGTGTCACTCATAACTCTGCTTGTGTATGATGATTTAGTATTCATGATAGAGAAAATGCTGGAGCGTATAAAAGAAAATACATCTCTTATATAGGATAGTGCTGAACCTTTTTTAAGAGATGAAATTATAGCCTACAAAAGAGAATTGAGGTATGCAGATTTTCCCATAATTTTGCCTGTGCATAATAGCATCAAATCTTTTTTAGGAGATGGAACAAAAACCTACAAAGGAAAAATCAAGAGAAGCTAGTTTTTCCCACAACTTCACGCATGAAAGATGATTTGATACTCTTCTTGGTATAGAAATACTAGAGCCTATAAGGGGAGTACTTCACCTATATAAGATAGCGTCAAACCTCTTTTAGGGGACAACACCAAAACATACAAAGGAGAAATTAAGAGATGTGGGGTTTTCTCATAACTCAACCTTTGAAGGACAACTTGGTACTCATAGTAGAGAAACTATTAGAGCTTGTAAAGGGTGAATACTCTGCTTATTAACATCAAACCCCTCTTAATAGAAGGAACTATAAGTCTATAACCCTAAAAAAAAATAAAAAATTAGAAGAGTATTTCCCCTTTCAAATGGGATAAATTTATACTTGAAGAGGTAATTTTTTTCTCTTTTTTAAAAAATTTTAAAGGGATTTTTTTTAAAATATAATTTTGATTGTTATTTAGAGCTTTAATAACTTCATTTAAGTATATATATAATTTTCAATAAAAATAGAAATATAACAAAGTTAAAAAAGACTACATTGCGTGGTGTATGCTTTTTGCTCATGATATTCTTCTTGTTGATAATATTAGAGAGGGAGTTGAAGGTAAATTTAAATTATGGAGGTATACCTTAGAGTCTAAAGGTTTTTATTCGAGTAGATCTAAAATCGAATATATGAAGTGTAATTTTAATAGTAATAGATCTAGTGGGAGATTGTGACTTTGGGCAATCAACTCATCAATAAGAGTATACATTTTAGATATCTTGGATCAATTGTTTAGAGTGATGGTGAAATAAATAGAGATATTATTAGTAGAATTCAAGTTGGATGATTGAAGTGGAGGAATGCATTAGGTTGCTTGTATGATAAAAAAGTCCCCTTCTAACTTAAGATAAAATTCTATAAAATGGTGGTCAGACTTGCAATGCTTTATGGTGCAGAATGTTGGCTATTAAAAGAGAAGCATAATATTAAGTTAAGTGTTGCAAAGATGAGGATGCTTAGCTGCAGCAGTGCTTTACTCTTAAAAACATGATACGAAACAAGCATATATGGGAAAAGGTTGGAGTAGCACCAATGGAAGATAAGATTAGAGATAGTCGCCTTAGATATTTTGGTCACATAAAATAACTGCCTTCCGATGGCTTGATTAAGAGAGTAGATATATTAGATTTGACTTATATTAAAAAAGGTAGAGGTAGACCTAAAAAGAATTTGTTTAAAAATATAGAAATGACCTTTTTTTTAATGAGAATTTGACTCTTAACAGGACACAATGAAGAAAAATGATTCATGTAGCTGACCTCACGTAGTGGGATAAATGCTTTATGATGTTGTCACTTTCCTCTTAGGCCCATGAAGCTTATGTTATTGTTGCTCTCTTGCAGGGTCCATGATCCTCGCGTAGTGCACAACACTAATAGGGCCCCAATCTAAGTCCAAATAAACCACAATCAAACACTTGAAGTATATTTGAAAACTTTAGGATATTAATTAAAGGACAAAATAGTCTCCTAATCTTGCAATCTTATAATCAAATCAAGTGATTTAACAAGATGAATCCAATAACCTAAGATTAATTGATTGATTCTAGGGTCTTTATGCCAGTTAAATGCTGAACAAATAATTTATGGTCAAAATATTAATATGATCCATCTGATGGCGTGCTATAGAATTTTGGTAAAGTTTATCCAAGTATTATTCCCAAAATACTATAAGTAGACTCTCATTCTCCATATTTAAAGGAGATCTTGACTTGAGATGAGAGAGAGCTTGAAGATATGAATAACTTAAAGCGCTTCCTGAAGTACAACATTGACTATCATTACAAGCCACCATCGTTGTCATATTGCTATTGCCTAACCATTGCCATCCAAGCAATGTTGGTCGATCATCATTGCTTGTCCATCACCATTTGACCATCATAGTCCATTTACCATCATTCGATTAACATCATTCGACTACTATCATCCGAACCATCTCCATCTTATCATCATCAATCAACCATCGTTTTCCGACTGACAACATCTAACTGTATCATTCATGAATGATTTCTCACATGATATTTACTATAACTACATAATACCAAACAAGTGCTCCAAATCTAGTAGTCCCATCTTCTCCAATTATAGAGAAAAGCGGACTACTATAACTTTAAGTATATAGTTGATTGTTTCAACTAGATTAGATGACATAATTTTTTCTCTCTGAATTTTCTCATAAAAATTATGCTATCTCTTGTATTATTCTATTTTTATTTCTCACTCTATATATACATTAGATATTGTGTAAAATTAAGAGATAAAACTAACCATCTATTACGCATTAGTTAGAAAACAGAGTTAGATGAAATCCATCGTCAAGCTCTCTCTTGCGAGCGATTATTACGTCAGCTCACCTGACGCGCCCAGAGATCAACAATCACGCGTCACGTCACATGAAACTTGATATTGAGCACTCGATATTGCTCGGTATATGTCCGGATTTCCAGTTTTTTGTCCGGACGTAATAATTACTCCTCTCTTGCACGAGGTGATTTGAGTAACCAGCCCAAGACCCAAGTCTAGGCTGTTTCGCTTGTCCTGGCGGCAAGTATCTAGCCTCATCTGAAACCCAAATGGGCTGTCGAAAAAATCAGCCCTTGCAGCCGCATACCTGCCGATAACTCCTCTTCGCTCCCGTGCCCTCCTCTCTGCTTCGTCCCCACTTATCCCTTTCCTCTATCTCTTCTCTTTCTATTACTCGAGACCCACTTACACAATGTCCGCAGCTCCAGCGCTCAAGCTCTTTTCCATGGCAGACAGCTGCCTCGCCACGCTCCCAGTTCACTTCGCCTCCAGTAACTTATTTCACCGTCGTTCAAAATCCATCAGTCGTCTACGCCTCTCCTGCTCGTATTCTTCCCTTTCAGCTCTACCCCTCTTGCTTTTCCTCAGGAAGGATAAGAAGCCTTCGGTTGTTCCCCTCGTAGCCAGGACCTCCGGTTGGGTCGGGGAGGAGAGCTCCGATTGGAATTCTGGGGAAAGGCTTGAGCCTCCTGATGCGGAGTTGTCAGAGGGAGATTTTTTGCCTGAGGGTGACAGCACAGTGGATGAGGGTTTTGTGGAGGGAGACGGGGAGGGATCTTATCCCGATTTGCTTGAGGAAGCCAAGCTCTTCGTTGGCAATCTCCCTTACGACGTGGACAGCGAGAAGCTTGCTCATTTGTTCGAGGGGGCCGGGATCGTTGAAGTCGCAGAGGTAATTTTGTTCGCTTTTAGACGCCTCTCTAAGGCTATGTTGGTTTTAAGGAATTGAAAAGACAGTAAATGAAAAGGAAATGGAGATGGTAAAGGAATTGAATTGAAATATGTTTTAACTCACTTGTTTGATTGAGGAGAAATTGAATGGAGAAGTAAGTTCTTATTGTTATTATTTTTTGGTTTGGTTCGAAGGAGTAACTACACGCAAGTGTAGTTATTTTTCTCTAATGGATTGGGCCAAGCTCCATTGCAGCCTACTGTATAATTCTACAAGCCGAAGTTATGAGTCACCATGCTGTAGTGATAGGCATTAATTTTTAGCTTGGTAGTATAATTCTATTTGACATTCAAGTTATTGTTTTTTCTCATCTCATTGTGAATCTTCAATTGTTTTCATTCTTTGGGATTAAAAGGGAAATGGAGAGGGCATCTAGTTTTAGTTATGATAAGGGGAGTTTCATTTTTAGTTTTTAACTTGTTTGAAGTTTCCTTAGGTTGAGCTAAGCACATTAAGGCCTTTAGTATTTAAAGTTTTGTATCTATATTTGTGACAATGCAGGTTATTTATAATAGGGACACTGATCAGAGCCGTGGTTTTGGATTTGTCACCATGAGCACGGTTGAAGAAGCTGAGAAAGCTGTGGAGTTGTACCATCGCTATGTAAGACTTGTCAAACCTAAATCCAAATGCTCATTGTTATTAATCACTAGTTGTTTTGCGTGTTTCAATTTATTTGAGAGAAAGAAAGTAATTATTCTGTTGACGATTCAGGTTAGACAAGTACATAGGACAAACATTTTAGATTTTCCTAATGCTTTTAGTGATATTGGGGGATACCTATTTTTCCACCGAACATAGTGCATGAGTTTCCCACCAATGTGGGATTGGGAGGCTGTCTGATACTCTGATCATTATCTATGTTAGATGTGGCACTTTTTGACTAACTAAGAGCTTTTTTATTTGGGTTTTAGACGCATCATTTGCTTATTCTTTATCACAGGTTTTCTCAATTCTCGATATTATGTTGTGGTGTTTTATCCCTTGAGAGCTTCCTAGTTCGTGCGGTTTGGGCCAAATTTTATGTCGAAAATCATATTTTGATTGTACTACTTAGTTTGTCTTGGTTTGATAGCAGCATCTTTCTTTGAAGTCTTTCAAAATTAATGAGGCTTTGATTTCATCTTATCATTTTTTTATTTGGATTGGTAAGAGGGTGTCTCTTTAAATTCCCTCTATAGTAACTGAGGCTTCTCTACTTGCATTTTGCTTTTGCTTCATTGCTTTATTGGAACACGGTTTTTCTTACTTTTTGATGCTTTTTGGTAGCTGTAGGCATATCATTGCATAATTGTACACAATCTTTAACAAATCCTTAATTGCCTTTACTTTAGTGGGATTAATTTTGATGATCGAGTTTAGTACATCAATAAATTTGGTAGTTGTGTGCTGGAGATGTGCTACATGTATTGCTCCTCAATCATTTTCTGCATCTAGAAGTTACCTTCTTCGCTCAAAGTAGAGAGAACATGACTTCTCTTTTCGTCTTCAACAAGTTGAAGAAGTTTCAACAATAATTTCTTACTTCCATTGATAAGTCTACCCATTTGCTTTGATATTATTATGTTTACCAACAAACACTTTGTCAACATAAAGGGCTTTTCTTCTTTTGTAAGGTGACATTGACATGATTATTGATGCAATTCCACATACCTATCATAGAGGTGTGATCTGTTGAAGATGACTTGGAAGATGTCAAGTGGAACCACCTCACATAACATCTATCTATGTAATCTACAGTGATTGCAAACTTTAAGTGACACTAATGATTAATATTCATCTCGGTCTTTTTTGGAATCCAACCCATAGGATAAGGATTGTGATGGTTATGGTGTATAACCCTAATTTTTCACCTTATTGGAAAAAGCAAGGCTTTCTATCTATTGATGTCGATGATGACATTAATCATCTCTTGCTTGACTTGTTTCCTTAGGATGAAAGCTCCTCTTGTATGTCATTATTGGAGGACTATTATGCTGGTATATACTCCACTATTTCCATCAGAGATAGGGACGGGTCTATAGCTCGTTGGACTTGGGGTGTAAACGAGTCGAGTTGAGTTGAGTATATGCCTTATCAAGCCAGGTTCATTTAACCCTTAATTAGCTCGAACTCGAGTTCGGTTAGTGACTCGAGCTTGACTCGTTTAGATAATATCAAGCTCGAGCTCGGCTCAAAAGCTTGAGCTTGTTTGGAAAGCTCATGCTCAATTCGTTTAATTGGTTCGATTCTTTAATTGTAAACAAATATTTTCATTTTTTTAGAATTTTTATTTCTAACACTTAATCAAAATTTGATTTCAATTATGATAAATAACTTAACTAGTCATAAAATGTTCACAACTTTAACTTTTAATTTCCTTAAAAAAATTTTAAGTTGTAGAAGAAATTAATATATAGTGAGCAATCATCTTTCTTTGAAAAAATTTCTTTAAATTTTTTATCAATATCAAGTGCAATTTTTATGCAGTTAAGTACAATAAAATTTTGATCAATATCAAAATAGATCATTTATATCAATGTTAAACCAAATTGTATATCATCACATGATGTAGGACTAGATGCTTGTAATGAATTTATTAAGAGCTTGCAAAGCTTATTGATTAGAGAAATAACAAATAGAACTATTAGCAAATAAAATGATGAATTAAAACTTAAGAGCGGTCACTTTCGTTTAGGCTAAGTTACATATCAAGAGATTTGAATCATTAAAATAACGTAGGAAAATAACATCATGCAAAGTAGTAGCTTTCAACGGAAATCCCTATTCTAACAATAAGATTAGAAAACAATGAAGTGCCCTCAATTCCCTACGTTTACTAAGCTCGGCAGAATCGGGCAAACGCGTCCTTCATGACTACAATCAAATCACAAGAAAGGATTAGACTTTAGAAATATGAGAAAGGAAAATTAGAAAACCTTCGTCAAAGATCGGTTGCAATCCTCCACTCGAAGATCTCAAGTTGCTATTTAATAGCTTCAACCAAGGTGTCCAAGATGCGTTCTATGTAATCCTCAACCGTATGGTCGATCCTCGGATTGACGTCGAAGAGGGTTGAATGGAGAATGTGCATGAAGTCGTGTTCGTCGTAGGCAAGTCCGTAGTCAGTGTCGGGATCGGTCATTCATGAATGTTAGATGACGATTTCTTCTGAAGATTGCTAGTAATCTTGAACTCCGTTGAAGAGAAAGAAGTTTTTCTTCAACTTGAAGTGGGGGTCACAAGGTGTGGCCGACCAAGGGATGGAGGCTTAGGGAGAAGTGGATGTAGGGAGTTAGAATTCGTAACCTCCTAAATATTCTTTTATTTGAGAATAATGAAAGGAAGAGAGAAAGGCAAGAGGGGGGTGGGGGAGGCGGCAAGGAGAGAGGGAGGTGGCTGATTTAATTCCAAATGAGAGACTCCCCTCTTTGGAAAGAAATTAAAGCAATTGGAGCATGTGAATTTCGTCCAAGAGGAGGTGGAAGAAATTTGAATTGTTTCCAAGGTGGGAAGGTGGGCTTTAGGAAACAATTCCTAATTTAATCGAATAGGGGGGGTGGGGGGCGGTGGCATTGATGGGCTAGGGAGCAATTAATGGGAGATATTAAGGCTTCTTAATTTGAGTTTAGGAATTATGAATGTATTAAATCAAATTCAATTTGAATTTAAAATTCAAATAGATTTAAATTAAGAACTTTCCTAAAATAGATTAATTAAATTAGAAAAGAATTTGAATTTCAAATTTAATTGATTTGAATTTCAAATTGATCCTAAATTAACTCCAACCAAATTAGGAATCCTAAGGAAGGTGGGAGAGGGGATGGGACCAGCAGCTAAGGGGGCTAGGGCCGGCGGGTTGAGTGAAAGCCGTGGGTGAGGATGTGGGGGAAGGGGTCGGGTGAGCAAGGGGAAAAGGGTTTGGGTTTAACCAAGGGAGAGGAGCTTAAGTGGTGGTGATAGAGGGACGTTAAGTGGCCGACGACAAGGATTTTGGAGGACCTTGGCCGGCGGCTAGGTAAAGGAAGAAGGGGTTAATGAGAAGACAAGATGAGGAACCACGAACCCGGTCGTCTTCAAGGTTGGTGGGTGATCCGATCTCCCTCACCTAGAAATTTTTCTCTCAAAGGCTCATACGATCTTACAAAGAAATTAATGGAAGAAATTTATCATTCATTCATTCATTACCCTCAAAAGAAAACAATGGAGCTATAAATAGCCTCTTACAATGACTCAGACATAACAGGACGACAATGCCCCTAGGGCTTACATACGACCTCTAATAGTAAAAATGTACAACGGAAAACTAATAAAGCAAATACAATATGACATCATAAATAAGAAAATGCATAAATAAAAAATACATAAAACAAATCAGAAATACAATGACTCAATCGTGCTCATAGATCGACGGCCACGTCTCTGATAAAACCTTCCACGATATGATGTCCCCATCATTCTCCCAGGGTGGGAGAAAGCTCGACTCCATCGAGTAAGTGTCTCTAGTGCTCTTGTAGATCTCTAATGCATCTGGGTCAATCTGCTGCAACTCCTCGCGATTCAACCAAGTATTCTCCGACTCAGGCTTTCCTTTCCACCTGATCAAGCACCTCCTTTATCCACCTTCCCTTGTGGATGTGATATCATCACTCAAGATCGAGTCCACCTTTTCTGCCATGGGTGATTTGGGAATATTTGGAAGTGGAGGTAGGTTTGGGTTCTTATATGATGTGGTCACATAAGGCTGCTATATTAGTGGATTTAGAGGGTTAAAATCAAGACCTTCATATGCAACTAGATCTTCTATGTTAAAAGAGGGATTGATGTTGAAATCTACAGGCATATCTATTACATAAGCATTACTGTTGATTTTCTTAAGTATTTTGAATGGTCCAGCACTCTTAGCATGCAGTTTCTTAACCGTTCCCTGCGGGAATCATTCCGGACGAATCCGCACCATCACGGAGTCACCAACCTCAAAAGTTTTAAATTGTCGTTTTAAATCCACATATAGTTTGTATTCATTATTGCTCTTTTTAATTTGTTGTGCAATTTCTTTATGAAGTTCATGCAAATGGGATGCAAATGATGATGCAGACTTAGAAATCCTATACCTAGAACACATGGGTATAAGGTCTAGCCGCTGTCTAGGTTTGAACCCGTATACAATTTCAGAAGGACTTAGGCCCGTGGTTCGGTTAATAGAATTATTATAAGCAAACTCAGTAGTAGGCAAAATAGAATCCCAATCCTTAATGTGTTCTCCAACCAAAGACCGCAACAGATTACCCAAACTCGTATTAACTACCTTAGTCTGGCTATCCGTCTGTGGGTGAAAGGCAGTGAAAAATTGCAATTTAGTGTCCATTTTCATCTACAGGGTTTTCCAAAAATAGCTGGTGAATTTCACATCCCGATCCGATATAATGGTTTTGGGTAAACCATGTAAACGGATGACCTCATTGAAGTATGACTTCGCAATGTGAGAGGCGTCAGATGTTTTGGAGCAAGGAAGAAAATGAGCCATTTTGGAGAACCGATCAACTACAACACAAATGATGTCGTTCCTACGGAGTGGCTTGGGTAGGCCTAAGATAAAGTCCATGTTAACATCCTGCCAAGGACAATTGAGGACAGGCAGAGGAGAGTACAGACCCATGTTTTGTTTTTGTTGCTTGGCCAGTTAACAGGTGTGACATCGACTGACCATCCGAGCGACATCTCTCTTTAGGCTGGGCCAATAAAAGTGATACTACACGGCTTCAATAGTTTTGTCCCGACCGAAGTACCCAGCGAGGTCTCCGGCGTAGAGTTCCTAGACAAGGAATTCCCTAAGCGAGGTGCTAAGGATAGGAAACCTTTGGGCTTTGAAAAGATAACCATCCTCCAATAGGAAATCGTCCACAAGGCGCGTGCTGCCTGTGGACAAGAGAGAGTAGGTATCCTTGAAGTCGGGGCATTCCAAATAGTCCATCTTTATTTGGTCAAATCCCACAACTTTTGCTCTCATCTTAGTAGTAGTCTTCATACGACGACTGAGAGCATCGACAACTTTATTTGCAATTCCCGCTTTATGTCTAAGGGTATAAGTGTACTCTTGAAGGAACTCGACCCATGGACCGTAGCGTGCATTTAATTTCTTTTAGGAGTTGATATAATGCAGAGCTTCATGATCTGGGGTGAGAGGTTTATTCCTAAAATCAGATCGAGGTGCAGGAGGACCCGTGGTTGGTCGGGTCGTGCTCCCAGAAGTGGGCTGGGTAGCAGAAGTGTGAGGAGTGGAACTACCAGACGGTCTGTAGGAGGACCTAGAGTTGTGTGAACGTCTCGGGTGCTGTGAACGGGTCTCCTCTAAATCAAGCACTAGGCTGTAGGCATTCTCCATTGTAGTGACGTTCCGGGCAAACAACTCATTGTGAAGATCCTCTCGCAACCCGGTTCGAAACATAAATAAGATCTGCGCGGGGGTGGTAGAGGTCTCCCCCTTGCAACGAATCAGGAAGTCATTGAAGGAGGCGATGTACTCCTTAACTGGTTTATTGCCTTGAGTCAGCCTATTCCACCTATCCAATAGTCGGGCGAAGTACGAGAGAGATCGTCCATAAGACGCGTGCTGTCTGTGGACAAGAGAGAGTAGGTCTCCTTGAAGTCGGGGCATTCCAAATAGTCCCTCTTTATTTGGTCAAATCTCATGACTTATGCTTTCATCTCAGTAGTAGTCATCATACGACGATTGAGAGCATTGACAACTTTATTTTCAACTCCCGCTTTATGTCTAAGGGTATAATTGTACTCTTGAAGGAACTCGACCCACATTCATGAATGGCCGATCCCGACACTGTCTACAGACTTGCCTACGACGAACACATCTTCATGCACATTCTACATGAGGACCATATGAATTACACAACCCATTAAGAAGTTTCATGATAGAGAAAAAAATAAAATATCAACAAAAGATAGAACTGTCTACTTCTTGTCTTTTTTATATTCCATATTCTTTGGCTCTTCCATTTTTAGTACCAATTAATATGATGCAAACCTGAAATTAAGATGAAAGATAAAAAATAAATATTTCTCAATGTATTGCAATACATTAAAAAGAGAAAAACTGATTTTTTTGCTAGCATGAAGCAACAAAATTCTTGCTACATCTACATGAAAGAGAAATTATGCTATAGGATAAAATCGGCAAAGATAAATATGTAACCACCAGTGTTACCATTAAATATGTTCCAATTGTTTACTTGTACTAGTACACTACTCTGGTATAAGAAGGCTAAAAGATCTAACATGAATAACAATAGAATGTTAATTGAAAACAACTGATTAGAACTACAGGTCAAAGAATAAATAGAAGAATTTAGAAAATAAAATTTATCATAAAAAAGATAAGGGAATATGTTACCACATCTATGTGGTCAAAGCATTGATTAGAAAATAAAATTCATGCCTGGTAGGTCTACTATGGAAGCCATGCATTTATTGAGTGGTTTGATGGAGAAATATAGATAGAGTAAGGAGGATCTACATATGATATTTATTGATTTAGAGAAAGCGTATGATAAAGTCCCAAGATAAGTGCTATGGAGAGTTCTTGAAAAGAAAGAAGTTAATAATGCTTATATTCAAATCATTAAAGATATGTATGCAGGAGCTATTACTTGTGTTCAAACACAAGGTGGTTTGACAAGTATTTTTCTATTTCGGTTGGATTACATCAAGGATCAACCTTAAGCCCATATCTTTTTGCTTTAGTCATGGATGTTCTCACTAGACATTTGCAAGAGGATGTACCTTGGTGTATGCTTTTTGCTTATGATATTCTTCTTGATGATAAGACTAGAGAGGGAGTTGAAAGTAAACTTGAATTATGGAGGTCAAATTTAGAGTCTAAAGGTTTTCGCTTGAGTAGATCTAAAACTGAATATATTAGTGTAATTTTAGTATTAATAGACCTAGTGAGGGGATTGTGACTTTGGGCGATCAAGTCATTAATAAGAGTACATGTTTTAGATATCTTGGATCTATTGTTCAAAGTGATGGTGAAATAGATGTGGATATTATTAGCAGAATTCAAATTGGATGGGGGAAGTGAAAGAATGCATCGGGCTTGTTGTGTGATAGAAAAGTCTCCCTCAAATTTAAGGGAAAATTCTATAAGATGGTGATGAGACCTGCACTGCTTTATGGTGCCAAATATTGGCCATTAAAAGAGAAGCATAATACTAAGTTAAGTGTTGCAGAGATGAGGATGCTCAGGTGGATGAGTGGCTTTACCCTTAGAGATAGGATACGAAATGAGTTTATAAATGAAAAGGTTGGAGTAGCTCCAATGGAAGATAAGATTAGAGAGAGTCACCTTAGATGGTTTGGTCATATAAAATGGCGACCTTCCGATGACCCAATTAAAAAAGTAAAGGTATTAAATTTGACTTGTGTTAAGAAAGGTGGAGGTAGACCTAAAAAGACTTGATTATAAAATATTAGAAATGATCTTTCTTTATTAGATTTAAATGAGAATTTGACTTTTAACAGGACAAAGTGGAGAAAAATGATTCATGTAGTGCTTGATGTTATTGTAGAGAGTTTTTATGAATTCCTTCTCTATAATGATACTTTTTGTGCTCCCATCATTGATCATTTTACTTGTCCCGGTAGTGATATCGAACAACAATAGTGATCACATCGGTCATCTCTATTTGAAAAATCTGATGATGGTCAATATCTATTTGAAAATCTGATATCGTTCAAGATCTCAGTGCAATGCACTGCAAGTTGTATTGATTCCACTAGGATGCATTGCAATTTGTGCTATGCAAGGATGGCATCAGCCTTGTTGTTGCTCGCTTATGTTGCGTGTGCTTATCATGCTTCTCTCGGTGCCTGCTCTGACTAGCCTAGAAGCATTCTAAATTATCTTCAACTAGTTGGAGGTGAGCTAACTTTGAATAGTGTAAATTATTTGACTGTCATTTTTCTCTTTTGGGGGGGTTTTTCACGTACAAATTATCGTCTCTTGTATTGTGCATCTGTTAGAAGCTGTAAACTGCGACAAATAATATCATTAAATTCTACCTGTTCATAGAAACCTCTCCGGTACACAATAATTTAATCTTCTAAAATAAGCTAATTTATATGGATAATGACAGGTTACTGTTAGTGACAGTTTATCATCAAATAGGCATGGAGTCATATTTTGCTTATGTCGAAGTATATAGGATTTATATTTTCTTACATGTCATTATATTTGAATAATTTTGTCTTCTTTTTCCTGTTCTTTTCTGTTGATGAGGTTGTCAAATTGATTGACAGATCATCAGATCCTATTTTATGATTTATTCAAAATGCTTTCTTTATTTTTTTTTTTAATTTTAAACTGATAATTACTTTGTGATTTGGATACAGGACTGCAATGGCCGGCTTTTAACTGTAAATAAAGCTGCTCCAAGAGGGTCCCGACCTGAGAGGAGTCCTCGGGAATTTGAGCCTTCTTTAAGGGTATATGTTGGAAACTTACCATGGCAAGTTGATGACACCCGCTTAGAGCAATTATTCAGTGAACACGGAAAAGTATTGAGTGCGAGGGTTGTTTATGATAGAGAAACTGGTCGATCAAGAGGATTTGGTTTTGTCACAATGGAGTCCAAGAGTGAGCTGGATGATGCAATTGCTGCTCTTGATGGACAGGTCGGCCCAATTCTAACTGCAATTTTAATGGCATTATTAATTTATTGGAGCAATAACAACTTTTGGCTTTTTCTTGGCATGTTACTAGCTAAAGTTTTGCTGAAGATGATTTAATTTTTTTGGCATATTGATGCATGAAAATTAAGGGTTAAGCAAAAATTCAAAATTGTCCCCCGAGTATTTGTATGTGATCAATGAAGCCCTAAAGTGTCTTGTTTTTTCTATTTAATTTCTCTACTATACAAAGATCTCAAATGCCCCTCAAGTATAAATTGACCAAAATTGTGATACAAAATTGTTCTAAATTTATTTCCTCAATTTTAAAAAATTCATTTCAATTTAGTTCCTGGATTTGCAAAATCCATCATAATTTAGTCCTTGAGGGACTACTTGGGATCAATTTTGTAAAATTGAGGAAAATGGAGAAATATAATACTTAGAGACTAAATTGGCCATATACAAATTTTTGGGGGATTAATTAAGGCTTTTTCCCGTTAAGTATCCATAGGATTACTAATACACTCTAAGATGAGATGTAAAATGAATATAGAAAAAAAATCGTAGATTGCTAGCTTTTACCTTGTAATAAAAAAAATCAGTTTTTTCTATGCATAAATAGAACCATCGTTTTTATTCAAAATGATAGTTTAATAATCTCTAAAATATGAAATTTTACAAATAAACAAACATAAAATTCCAGCAACAATCAAGTTCATACTACGCATGTTTAACTTGACAATCTAAATTGCATACAAACCAATGACTACAGGGCCGTTGGGAATCACTTTCTTTTTTTGTTTTTAACTTTAGTTTTTAGTTTATTTTATTTGTCATTTTATGTATATTCTTAATATGAAATAAAAACATGTTTGGCATCCTTATGGGTTTATTATTTTGAAAACATAAAATCATGTGTGGTTTTTCATTTCTTTTAACACTTCCCGTATTCAAAAAACAACATGAGAAATGATAAATAAAAGGATTCATTTTAAGTGAGAGTTATTTGCATTGAAACATAATCGTGGCGACTCACGAGTGAATATGCTTAAGAAAAAAATTGAAAAAACAATAGAAGTCACTAATAATATCAGGCAAATCATAGAGCAGATAAACCCACTGAAAATAATATGTGAAGATCAGTTGAAATGCAAATAGGATGAAGAACATTCTATTTTTGAGCAAGACTCGAATCTATCACAGCACAAATTACCCTCCACCTTTCCATTATAAACCTACTCTCATTTTTTGATAAGCTGAGATTTCTGAGTTAGTGGCACCATTTACTTTCTATATAGCTGGAAAGTTTTCCTTGGGCTGCCCAAGCTTAGAGATTACTAGTAAATTCTTGTTTGGCTTGCATTTGATGGTTGACTTTTCTATTGGGCTCTTTGACCCTCATCTTTTTCTTTTTAAATTATCGCTAAAAACATATTATTAGAAACTCTTTTCACATAGATCTTTTTTTGAGCAAGAATCGAATCTATCATAACAAAAATTGCTCTCCATCTTTCATTCTAAACCTACTTTTATTTTTTTAAAGAGGTTTCTGAGTTAGCAGCTCCATTTACTTTCTATATAGTTAAAAAGTTTTCCTTGTCTACTTGAGCATAGGGATTTCGTGCAAAGTCATGTTTGACTTGCACTTGATGGGTGAATTTTTTGTTGGGCGCTTTGACTGTCGTCTTTTTCTTATTAAGTTATCCCTAGAAGCTTGGAGATTCTCTTTATGTAGTTCTTTCTATGGAATGGCTTTCCGATGCGCCTGCTTGACTTCTCAAGTGTACTCAATAGATTGACTTATACAAGGAACCGCCAATAATTCCAATGTTTGTTGTTTTTTCCCATCTTAGTGTCGGCTTCTTTAACCAGTCCATTTTATATTATCTTGTTTCTATCTTTTGTAAATATTTAAAAGTGGATGCTGCTATTGCTAGTCTTTTGGCTGCCTGTGACTTGGGTCCTGGTTGAAATGGTTGTTATTATTATTCCATTGAAAAATGAGATTTGGATTGGTTCCTCTTAAGTGGTTATTGGTAGAAAGTTAAATTTGAAGGCAGTCCCTCCTATAGTGTCTTGTAAGATCTTTGATAAAAAATATTTAAGTTGCTACAGGATTCACTCTTAACTAAGAAAAACATCCTTTGTGAATCCTAACACTCATGGATAATGAGGATAAGACATTCGATTAATGATAACCTACCAGGTTGGTGGTCACAGTGCCTTCTATCTCAGATTTGCTTTGTACTCAAATCACCCAAATGGAAGATTCATGACATTGAAACATTGAGACTCATCACCAGAAGTACTCGCAATACATGCAAAAGTCTCAATGAATTCACATTCAGCAATACATGCAAAAGTCTCAATGAATTCACATTCAACCGGCATAGGCAGAAGAATTGAAAAAAGCTGAAAATTTTTTGTAATAAACTTTTATTTATTCTTACCTCTTTGAGAGGTCCTATTTATAACTCACAAAGAATCTTAAATTTCTCGTAATCTTTCAAAGGTTTCATTTGGAACGGCTTTCTTATTGCTTCTTAAAGTAGTTTTTTAGTAAAAAATTTTGACTTTTGTATTAGAAAGTTACTTTAAGAAGCAGTAAGAAAGCCTTCCCAAACAAAACTTAAGTCTATGCAAATGCAATAATGCAATATGCTTCAATATATTCTTCATAAGTTCTAACAGTGTCAAATTTTTCATAAGAAGTCCAATTTGTAGTTTACTTCAAGACATGCCAAACAAAACAAGTGAGCAACGTCAAACAGAGGAGAAATTGTTACGTGATGAGTCCGGACGTATTCGGACTCCAATAAAAATGTGACACATGTCATTGTACACAGTGTGTACAAATTTGTACAATATGTATAATTATGTACATAGTGTGTATAATATATATATATATATATATAATGTGTACAATTGTACACATTGTGTACAAGGACACGTGTCACGTTTTTATTGGAGTCTGAATGTATCCGGATTCCGCACGCAAACACAGAGCGATGACACAAAATTAGAAATAATCGGCCAAATAGTGGGATGGGATCAATTAGAAACAGAGTTGGCATCATTAGGAAATAGAGAAATTGCCAATTACTGCAGGTTAAACGAACTCACATGCTAGTAGGGAGTTTACTCCAACAAAGTATATATGGAAAAAATAAGGCAGTTTTCTCCAGACTATTTCCCCTATTTATTATTGGCAATTGCTCAAATCAGATACCAAGCATGTCATTTGACCTACTAATGAAATAGTAAAGTCTTCCGTTCTTAACTTATCATTCTACTTTCTAATCGCCTGCAACATTTTTGAAGGCATGTTTTACAGTGCTGATTTTTTTTTTCCTTGGTGATACAGATATTGGATGGCCGGACTATTCGAGTGAATGTTGCTGAGGAAAGACCTCGGCGTGGGTCTTTTTAATTCTGGTTAGCAATGCCATTCCTGGTTGAGTAGGTTAGTTTGTTGATAGGAACTGCTACTATATGTTTATCGCGTAGCTCTCAAGATTGCATTATTGTTTTTTTCCTTATCTTTTGTTTTTTAAGTGAAAGACCTTTCATTCCGTCGGTGATTTCCAATGTGCCTTTATTTTCTGCCTCATTGATCTTAAGTTATAATCTCATATGGTTCATGTTTTCAAAGCTGTTCGATGCATTGTTGATGATTATTATTTTTTTTCAAACGGAATGGAAGATTGAATCTGACCTCAAAAGGAGAAATTATTCTGTGCAACGATCCAAAGGCGAATCAAGATCATATCAACTAGTACACAACATCAGTACATAACAAAAAAATGACGTGACGCCGTTCCGTGACCGTACAGAATAATTTCTCCCTCAAAAGATACAATGAAAATGAATATGATGAATACTGTGTCTTATAACTCGTTTGCTTCAGCAACTTAACTTTTTTGTATTAAATCGTTCAGGAAGACTATAAGCATAGTCTTTAAAGTTTATCTGAATCATTTTTTTTATTAAGAAACGTTGACACATTTTTTTTCTTAAAACTTTCCTAAATTTTTAATATTTTAGGGCCATGATATTTGCATTTTCAATCCTTCAATTCTATCAAATTTGACAAAAATAATATTATAGTGCGTTTGGTCATGCAAATCTTAAAGATTGATGCATTATTTAATAAAATTTGAATAAAGAAATATGTAGACGATTTAAGTGCTTGTACTCGTATATTCTTCTAAAATCAAATTCAAGTCGAGCAAAGCTGGCTCATCAATCACCAGATTGATAAATGATAGTTTTTTTAAATTTGTCCAAACTTCGAGCCTCTCAGCTCCAAGCATCGACAGGCTTTGTGCTATTTATAGTAAGTATTTTAACTCATAATAGCTTTAAAAGCCGTGTTTTTTTTGTACCAGCATTTAGGTTTTGTTCCAGTTTTTTTATTGATTTTTAAAATATTTTTTTATTATGAAAAATAGTAGTCAAAATATGTCCCAATTGAAGCATTTTACTCAACACCGGGGGTCCTGTGACAGTAAGAAAATCCCATGTCAGGCTCTTTTCATGAGCAATTTAGAAAAATAATTGAATGAAATTTATAAGTATGTATTTACATAGTATATTTTATAATACATATAAACAGTAAAATGATTAATTGAATCTAAATATAAAAATTAGCTGAATACAGGTTAAAGTTGGCCCCCTTTTAAAAATTTCTGGCGTCCTATAGCACTCAAAATCATCTACTTTATAAATTTCACAATTAAATTTTATTATTTTATATATAGCTTGCAAAATATTTGTAAACTAAACACAAATTATAAAGCTTTGGCAGCCTTAGCCTTCACACGGAACAATTTTTTTATTCCTTTCTAAAATAATTTTTTAGTAAAAAAAATTTATATTAAAAATTTATTTTAAAAAGCAACTAAACTTTTTTACTTGCCACTATATTTATTTTTCAATTCTGTTTAATTCTATTTCCCTACAAAAAGCTTATTTAAAATTTTTTTAATATGAATTTAATAATAAACAAAGCTATAAAATTGCCAACGCAACTCTTACATCACCATACCCATTACCTCAGAATTTTTTTTTTTTTTTGGAAAATTGGGGATTATCTAAGAAATTGATTGCTTGAAGGACTTTACCTCTCAGAATGATACGTTCCTTCTTCCTGTTCCTTTTAAATTGATGGAAGCAATTGCTTCTTATTTGGTTTATTTTTGTTTACTTCGCTACAAAGCAACAATGGGCTGCTGAAGAAGAATAAGAATCATAACTTCTTGTTCTTCTTCTCTTCACCCCATTCACATCCCCTCTTCTTCCTTCTCTTCTCCATTCCAAACCTGCATTTTATTTTGTTCTTGCAAGATCTTCTTGCTGCCATCCTTTTGTTTGACTTCATAGCATAAAGCCATCGAGGTATCTTTTCAATTTTTTTTTTTTAATATTTATTGTTAGTTTATTTTATTTTAATCTTGAAGTATACAAGTTTTTATATTCGATAAATATTGTAGAAATGAGCTTTGGATTCCTATATATCTCTTTCTACCTTTGGATTCCATCTCTCTCTATCTAGCTTTGGATTCCTATATATCTCTTTCTACCTTTGGATTCCTACACAGATGAAAGTGAGCTTCTCTAAAATGAACAATAATAGCATCACCTCTTCTCATACTGAAACCAATGGTATTGGTCTCACTGATGACTTGCTAATAGAGATTCTCACCAAGCTACCACTGAAGTGCATCTACCGCTACAAATGCGTATCGAGGTCATGGCGGCGGCTTATTGCAGACCGTTACGTCGCCGCAAGGCTCCCATTAATTCTCTCCGCCGTATTCTACCGCAGTGGTCCCGGAGATCTCAAGCTTGAACCCAGATATGGATGCAACTCTAATGGTAGTTTCCATGAAATAGACTTCAGTTACCTCCCATTTTACCATAACTCCAGCATCATAGATTGCAGCAATGGTCTTCTCCTCTTTTATAGATGCATTCCCTCTACTTTTCATGTATGCAATCCTACCACAAAAACATGGGCAGCTCTACCCAAGCCTAGGTGTAAGAGCCAGCTCTCAATATTAGCTTTTGATGCTTACAAATCACCATATTACAAGGTAGTTTGCTTCAGTGGGTGGCAAGCACAAGGAGGCCAGCTTGAAGTCTTCTCGTCAGAGACCAGCCAATGGGTCGAACACACCTTGAATTGGGGAGTTGATACCAACAATCTCTCAGCTTCGATGCATTACTTTGATGGTGTTCTTTATGTTCTTGCTCTTCCTAGACATGTTGCTTGCATTGATCTAGAAAAGATGTGTTGCAGCGTAATTGAGTTGCCTGAGGACATGAAAAATGATGCTTCTTTAGGGAATTCTGGTGGGTTTCTCCACTGCGCAATAAATGACACAAATGAATTGAGGATTTGGGTTTTAAAAGGAATGAAATGGGCGTTGAAGAGCAGAGTAAGTGTTTTAGGGATTTTAAAATGGAATGGTGATTGCAAAGAAATGTCTTCTACTACTTTTTTGCATCACGGGCAGTTTAATTTCTTGGCTTTTCATCCGAAGGAGGATGTGGTTTACCTATGGGTTATGGGCAAGTTGATGTCTTATGATCTTTGTAAGAAGATATTTAATTTGGTTTGTGAGCTGGGAACAGAGAAGGAGAGAGTTCAAGTGATTCAGATTTGGCTGTTTCCATATTCAGATAATGTTTTAAATTGCTTGGCTTGATGAGAATTCAGTTTATGTAATAGTTCTTTATGTTCGGTGGTTTAGTTTGTGGCAAGTAAAGAAAAAATTATTCGGTGAGGACATCAGACACGGCTCTACGTCCAGATGTCGTGGCACTGAGTAGTACTGAGTCGCGGTACAGTAAAAGAATGACATGTCGCATTCTGATTGATCTCCGAATGACGTCCGATTTCTGCACATAGAATAATTTTTCCAAAAAGGATGTATAGATTCTATAGAAATTTGAATAGGGACACAGGTGATTTGAATTTTTGTACAGTTGTATTATTTAATAGAAATTTAAGATATACTTCCATTAATGAAACATCCATTTTGAATATTCCTTCAATTGAAGTTCATTATAAATCTTAAATTAAAGTGATCAGAATTTATGAGAGAAAATGCTTTGCTGCATAAAAAAAACTCCGAATAAGAAGTTCAAAGCATTTCGTAGCTCCATAGGTATAAAAATTTGAAGGCTTTCGTTTGTCATTTGAAGACTTCTAATCTGAATGAGAACGTGGCTGATGAGAGGAAAAAATGTAGGTACTAAGTCGGCACACAACTTGCAAGCAAGTTGATTGAGACAGCAATTAAATCAATTCATTGCTTCACTATGTAGGCATGTAGCCATTTATTATATTTCTTGGCTTTTGTTTCTGTCCTGAGTAGTGCTTCAAGGTTAGAAGAAAATTTAAATTAAACATAATTGTAAATTGAATTAAAATAAATAACTTAATTAAAATTAAGTTAAATCACAAATTTAAATAAAGTTAATAACAACAACAACATCAACCTTTACCCACTACGTGGGGTCGGCTACATGAAAATTAAATTAAATTAAATTAAGTTATAAACTAAGTTTATTAAATTTATAATACTTTAATTTAATTTCATTTATAATTTTAATAACTTTATTTAAATTTAATTTAATTACATTAAATTTAAACTTAATTAAATTTAATAACTTTATTTAAATTTATAATTTAATTTAATTTATAATTATAAGTTCTTTTTAATTATAATTTTTTTAATTAAATATTTATAAATTTATAATTAATTAAATTTTATAACTTAATTTAATTTAATTATATTGTATTTACTTTATATGTTATTAGAATGATAATGTAATTCAAATGTTAGAACTTATAATATTTTATTATATTAAGTTATATTAATCACTGTTATGCTCTTTACAAAAAAAATAACTGCATTCCTTCTCTCTATTCCGTAAGCTTTCTCTCTCTTTTTCTCTTTCCTTTCTCTCTTCTCTCCCTCACACTTTTTCTCTCTCTAAGGGAATATACCAAATGATTTGGGCTTATTCTGGCGTTGACGAATTTGCTCTTTTTAACTTTTATATTAGTTATGCTCTTTTATTAATAGATTTTAACATGCTTCTTTTAAAAATTTCGGAAAATGTATACGTTATGTATAAATTATACAAGAGTGTATCAAAATTAATCTAGGCGAATTTTTTCAGTCTGATTCCGCACAGAAATATTTCTCCATGGTGTTTAGGACTTTTTTATTTCACTTGAATTATTTTCCATAGATTTTTTATTTCACTTGCATTATTTTTCTCTCCCCACGGCCTCTTCATTTTTGTGCTTATCGACGAAGGAAGCCATTAATGTGTTATCTGACACTTGTATGGCCAGCCGATGGATTTTGGCCTGATCCTCTTCCACTGCGGATGCTAACAAATAATCAAGTGGAATCCAACTATGAGTTTTTGGACACCTGATTCTTCTACTGTTCTATCTTTGGCTCATTCATGGAGGAGGGTTCATTTGAATAATTATTATGTTTTATAATTCTAAAGTTTTAAAAAATAGTAATTTTAAATAAAGAAAAAAGATCAATTAAAAAATGATAATTATATTATAAAAATAAATAATAAGAAATTTACCTCAAATGAATTAATCTGACTATCTCTTAATTTTTCTAAGAATTTTTCAATCATTTTGTTTTCAAATGGTGGTGACTAATAGTGATAATTAATTTAAAAAATTCTCAAATATTTAAAAATATGCTAATAATTTTTTTTAAAAAATAAAATAAAATATCCCAAAAGGCCCTATCGTTCTTTACATTTTGAAAAAAAAAAAAAAAAAACAGTGAGCAGTACAAAATGAGGGCAATGACAAGGAAAAATAAAATAAAAGCATAAAGCTATCTACAATTAGGATTAGGGTAAAAGCAAAAGAGGCCGTTGTCTTGTGCAATTTTACATTATCTTCTCAATTGCCCAAAAAGAAAATAAAAAAAAATCTCAATCCATCTCATCGCCGAACTTTTATTAAGTCCGGATGTAAGGACGTAGAGAACGTCCGATTGGAGCAAAATCCCACAAAAAAACTCGGTATTTGCTTGGTACAACTAGGGTATTATTTGATATTAACGAGAAATACAGCTCTTTGAAGATCAATACCGAGTTATACCGAGCTGTACCGAGAAATACCGAGTTGTAGAAAAATCGGTACAATTTTGTATAACTCGGTATAATCGGTATTAATCTTCAATGATGGTATTCCTCCCATTGTTGTTGGTATCGCTCGTATTTGCTCGCTGGTACAACTCATTTTTTTGGCGGGATTTGGCCTCACGACCGGACATTCCTCTACGTCCGGTCGGAGTACGTAAATAATTGTCCTTTCATCACAGCGTAAGAAATATCTGTTTGATTTTAATGCGATGTCGCTATCCCAACGGACATTCAAGGAGACCATTGACGTTTAGCAAAATTCCATATTCTAGTTGCAAGTTGCATTGTGTGTATAAATAGGACCTATTATTAATTATAAATAATTAACAAAAAAATAAAAAAATTTTTATGATATAGTGGCTGATCTTTCGAATCCTTTCTCGTTGGTTTATGGTCCCATCGTTTTTTTTTTATTAATGATCTTTTCTTTTTTATTAATTATTTGCTAATTTGATGACTCATCCGATACCTAGTGATACCCAATACCCATACCGAGAAAAAGAAAATTTACGTGGCATGTTCTAGTTGGACTTCCAGACGGCGTCCGATGTTCTTCACAGAATAATTTATCTAGCTTTTTAAGGCTTCTTTTGGGATCCATTTATTATTATTTTTCTTCTCATATCTCAACTATAATTCTATTTGTTGCGTGCGAGAATATACGCGACGAATAGAGTTTGTAAATTCGCGTCCTAGCGTTGCACGAGTATTTCACACACAAACATAAAAGAGAAACGTGAACACCAAGGTTTTTA